TTCACGAACCACATCTAGAGTCAACTGGTCTTCACCCAGATTCTCCAACGCAGTTACCAGGGAATCATAGGATTCAGGTAGGGTCACAAAAAACTGCTAGACCATGTCTCCTTCCTCAAGCTTCACACCAGCAGACTTGAGTTGCCAAATGAGCTCATCAACGATCTTGAGATGTTCCTTGATCAACGTTCCATCCATCATCTTGAGGCTTGCCAGCTGCTCCCAAACAATAGTTTGCGACGATACTGACTTCTTCGCGTAGACGTTCTCCAGCACAGTCCAGATTTCCTTGGCAGAATTCTTGTCACGGATCAAGTCCAAAAGGTCTGGAACTTTTCCAGTTCACAGCTGCAGCCGTTGGTGCGTTCTTGGTCATCGCATCCAATAACTCGACAGACGTCAAGTACTTCTCCACGCGGAACTTCCAATTTTCAAATCCAGTCCGGGAAAACGGAATTATTCCGTGGATAGTTTCCTTCCGTGAGTTGCCTATAACCTCTTTAGAGTAAATAAACAGCAGTGGTTTGGAAACGGGAACCCAATGGGTTGGTCACCCGGCATAGTGAGCCGAAAACAGATTCGGCACAATATGGGCACACCTGGGCACACTAACCGGCACCCATGGTCAGAAATGTATATGACATTTAAAAAAACTAGCAACACTGCTATATTATTATCATTATTTACATTCTGGTTGACTTTTAGAATCAAAAACGTGTCTCAAACAACTGAATTGGATTCGTTCAGAAATATTTTCGCATTAAAGCCAATATATAAACAGTATTCTTCGTTTTTTAATCGTAAAAAACAATATGATTATATATTTACTGAAAAGAAAACTAAACAGAGCTGGAAAAACCGAGTGGGTTGGGGGAAGGAGGTATCCCAAGTAGCATGTATTGTTTTATTGCATTGTGGTTTATTATTAGTGGTTTTGAGATCATTTTTTTAAAACCGTCATAAAAATTAATAGCTCCAGCCCAACCTTTTGATAACCGCTATAAGATCGTCTTCCATAAAGTATATAAAGCATGTTTGAGAATCACAATAAAGCTGTCTTAAAGCCTTTTGTGAGAAAGCCCCATACTCTACAAAAGGTTCTCATAGCCTCTTTAAGAGTAATATTATATTCAAGCATTTTTATTACGCTTTGGTGAAAATCAGTTATAAATCCAATTTAATATTTATTGCTTCTAAGCAACCACCATAAATTAGTTTGTTGTTGTACTGTTCTGCTGAAACATTTTTTTTTTTTCATATGGAAATCTTTAGCTGTAAAAATAGGTTTGAGTGTTGGTGTCAAGATCACCATGCAATCAATTTTGTTTCATGGTGACATTAGTGAAAATCTTACAGAAAATATATGACTTTTTTCCAAAACATATACGCTTGAAATTTTATCGTGTATATTGGGATAATATAAGTGTTAAATAAATACGCTCCAAAATAATTCAAGTTAACAAAAAAGATTGTTTCAGAAAGCAAATGAATTTGATGGAATCATCTCTATTTTACAGAAAATAGATCTCAATATATCAGTTCATACCAACGCACTGGAAATCATTTCAGATCTCTAATTTAGCCATTTTTTTATTGAAATTTCTTGGATTTTTTTTCCAAGGCTAATGGCATTTTCATAAGGACAATATGATGACAGCGCAACATCAAGCGCAATTTTTTAAAATGTCTAATGCTTACATTGGATGAAAGCCGAACAGAAAAGCATGATGCATGCTTTTATTTCGAGCACTATTTTCTTTATACAAGAGCAATTCATTTTTTTTTATTTGAGGTCAAATGTATATTCCTATTCTACGGGTGCAACCGATGAATTTTACAAACATTTGGAAAAGTTTTGAATGGTAGATTAACCTTTATGAAAAGTTATCCGTGATTTCAACCTTTTTGTCCTAGGACTGTTACCATTCCATGTATTTCGACCACGATTCGACAGTGTCACCCCATGTATATGCGAGCGAGAACGGAACAATTATAGAGATTGCTGACGTTTTTCTTACGCACACTACGTCACGTATACGTATACACGAAATGTTTTCATTCTCATGCTAACAATTTTGTTGATTTTCTTTGCGCTCCGCTTGGAAGTACCGGAAACTTTTGATTCTTTTCTATGTTGTAAAAATAAACCACCTATTTACACTTCTGACAAGTTGCAACTGAAGGCTTATAATTGTTTTAAAATAACTGTGTCATGGCCAACTAGTTTGATTGCGCTTACTTATATAGCAATATAAGGATAGATTTTTGGGTTTTATAAGGGCAATTCAAATTGTTTTTTTTTTTATTCTTCAAGGCAATCATAAAACCTTTCATAAGTTAAAATAGCATAAACATCAGTTGGTTTTTTTTATAAGCTTTATAGGGGTTTTGTAGATAGCTATAAGAATGCTCCATGACTTGCATTGTATATGACCGTCATAAAGCTGTGGGTAATGGTTGCAGCTGCAATAAAACCTTTATAAATTTTCAATATAGCCAAGCAGCTCTAGATTTGTTACTTGGGATGGGAGTGGTTAGTCAAAACCTGAGTCGTGAAGCATAATGTTCCGGATAGAAAAGGATTACTCTGATTGTGGCTGATACCATTGGTGTTGGCCAGCGCGTTATATGTTTGTCGAAGCAGAGATAGCAGATATCTACACGATGATGATCGCAGATCACAATGCTGGAGCAAGGCATTCCACAAAGATACTTCCGGAGCAAACGATTAATTCGATTTGGTAGAGGGACAATCCGATCAGTCGATCACTTTTCCCGGGGGCATCTTTGGCTATGGATTTTAGCACAAACGAAATTTATGATTGTGGGAGCCGTTCGAACTTCCCACACAATCGCTTTGCATCGTTCTCTACGCATTTACTCGAACTCGAAGCAACAATGTGGTAGTGTCCAATCATTTCACGATCTCACGTCCTACTTTCCCCGGCTCCCTGGCAGTGATCTCCCTTGCCCAGTTTTTCACGTTGTTATTCTTCATGCTACTATTTTCCTCCGCAGTCCTTATCGATTCCACTAGCAAGCAGTCGACATTGAAGCAAAGTTTCGAAGCAATTTCAGTCTCCAGCTGATTTGAATCCGTTTCAAAACATTCGAACTGTCAGAAATACCCAAATATTCACTATTCACTAAACAATAAAGTCGGCTCAATAACCGGCACTTCCGGCACAGCTACGGCACACTTGGGACACACTGCAAAAAAAATGCCACCTGTTTCAGCCAACCAATAGTCATTCAACCTGAAACGAATTAAAATAATTAATTAATGCTACAAAATCAATAGTTAATTAGTCTTACTACCAAGCGACTGCAGCAGCAGAAAATTAGGTTTGTTTTGATTCTGCTGAGTTGACAGCAACAATATATGCTCCACAATAGTAGTAGTAGTGTAGTAGTAGTAAATTAAGATGAATATCGACTGAGTTACATGAGTTAACAATGAGTTCACACTCGGCCAAACACTCAAATCTTGCATGCAAGTTAGTAGAAAAGGAAAGAAGACAAGTTTAGATGTGTGCATTAAATTGGAAGTTGAAGAAGAGCACATGTAAATGGATTATAATTGTGCATAAATTAGGGAGCAAATGAAGGTTGAAAAACAACTTAATTTGTACAATAGCTTAAAAAGCAACAAAGGCTTCCATATGAACCCATCAGGAGGGAAATGATATAAAAACGGACCAGGAGTGCAACATAAAATCAATTTACAAACTATTTTCCAACGTGAAATATATCTTTCAAACCATCAATCAACGTGTTATTTCTTAACATCGAACCAGAATCCAGTGCCAGTGAACCGTTGCCGTAGCCTAGTGAGTTATATTCAAGTCAGTGTACCGACGTTAAAAAGTTAACCTTTACCGCCCAGGGACCTAAAATTATACGTTGACAAATTAGGTCACTGCGTTAACACCACCTCTTAAGTGTGTCGAGTGACTTGCCCCTTGCGGGAACCATTGTTATATTGAACTGATCTTGTGGAGTGTTACAATTGGAATGAAAATTTTTATCAACTCAAGACCAACAATTGAAATGGCGAAACCTTCATTCGCAAACCTACTCCACAATCGGGTAGAGGAGAATTTTCCCTACCTGTTCATTATGTTGGTTTGCCTTTGCGGACTTCGGTTCGTGAGAAAATGGCCTTACAAGGTTTGTTTACAAAATGGAGTTAAGGCCATTTCAATTGTTGGTCTTGAACTTGCTACTTGAAATCAATAGCGTTGCTAAGGACTTGCTAACAATTAATAAAGTCTTCGGCAGCTTCGATTTCGATTACCGCAATAAATTTCCAGGGAAGCAGCTATTTGTATGAAGCAGCTTTAATTCCAAATCATGAAGAAGCCGAAAAAATAAAAATTCACGTAGAAGTCGAAATAATTGCGGCGCCGGTGTTGTAGTGGTAAGGGCGATTGCCTCTCACTCCAAAGGGCCTGCGTTTAACCCCAGTCGGCGCAGTAGGGATTTTCTGCAGCATAAAATCTTTGATCACGCCTTCCTTCGGAAGGGAAGTAAAGCCGGTGGTACCCGGTCCATGAGTTGATGGGTCGATAGGTAGGGTTCCAGGCGTGGGAGCTGCCTCCCTGGCGTCGGTAGCATTGGTACTCTGTACTTCAAGATAGCACACTTACAAAATTCATGTAAATTTAGGTGCTTACAGGCGAAATTCAGCTCTATCAAACGTACTTTTCGTCGAGCAAAGAACATTTCAGTCTCAAAGCACATAATTTGACATGACATGTACGCTTGCGTCTCATCCTAAATGTCAAAGAAGGATTCCGTCATGTGTAAAATGAGTTATTTCTATGTGTGTGAAGTTAACATTACCCTAGCTCTCATCCCAGTTCGTTACAAATATATTAAAAGCAACATTGTAATTCAAACTACAACCCATTGAACCGGGAAACCCTCCAACACTGCCACCAATCTTTAAGAAGTGCAACTTTTCTACAACGTCATCTTTTATGTTCTTCTACTTCCAGCAACGTTTTATTGCATCGACCACATCGCCATCGCCTATAGCTGTATCAGCTTTCGGGATAGAGCATGATCCTCCTGTTGCTGCCAAGGGCGCACTCACTATATAGGTAGGAGCTACAGTTTCCGTACAACCAAAACCACCCCCAATGTGCATGGTGGAAAATCCGAAACCACCGCTCGATTTCCCCTATCACTGGCGGCCAAGAGACACGTACGCCACAAGTGTTGCTGCGACCCCGGCAATAAGACAGTAGTGCAGCAGCGGAAATAATTGAGTGAAATACGGTACCGACCCGAAAGGTGAATCCCACAGCAGTGCTGGAAAGCCCGTGTGTGTTACAAGGGTTGTGAATCCCGGAAGAGGGAGGAAATCGATCCCCTCGTACAAGTGGTGGAAACGACGAGTGGGTTCAGTAGTGTAAGTGTGTTTGATAGTGTAAAAGTGCAGTTGCAAAAGAGCACTCCATTGCTTTCGGAATATATGCGTGTGGGTGTGTATGGCTGTATGTTCAGTGGCCGTTGAAGGAAAACCCAACAGTGGAAGATAGCGAAAAAGTGTGCAAGAAGGAAAAGCACGTGCAAGTGACGGCACAGTGAATCCGAGGGGACCCAGGTGTGTGTGTACGTGATTTCTTAGGAATGCAACAACGCACTGAGCTGGGGGATCTTTTTTCAACTACATAATTCCTCAACCCTCGGCCCTGGTTTCGTCAGAAAGGAGCTTGAAATAGTGCCCGGAAAACATAAAATATAATTTTCCAGTGGGGCTCTAAGAAGCAAAAAGGCAAGTGGCTGAAAATAGTGAAGAGTTTATAATCGGCTAAAAGTGGACATACACACACAAGGTTGGTGTTTCTGCTAAAGTGGTAGATTGCTGCTGGCAACGAGTTGTTGCAGAAGAAAAAAAAGCCATCAAGTGTTTCTTGTGTAAGAAATTATCATTTAATAAGAGTGAGAGGAAACATAAAGTGCTAAGTGAGACGCCTTAAGGCGGGCGAAGAGCGTGAAATTGTAGAGCAAAATATAAAAGTTCCTTAGCATACAGAGATATGGAGTAGAAGATTGTCGTGACAAGAAGATTTACCGGATCAAATAACTTGCAAAGAAGAGCGCCGGCAAAAAACGGTCTCCGGCAGCACAAAAAGGATTAGATTCCGTCAGCTGGTCGAAGCAAGAAAGCTTTTACTGGATTTTATTTCCTTCGAGTTCTCCGTCTTCTTCTTCGTTTTCTTCGGGCAAGGGTAAGTTCAACTGGAACAAGAAATATAGGGTTTCTTATCGATTAGTTTTTCCTTGTAGTTTGAATGGAATAAGTTGTTCCCGGTTTGCAGTGGCGTAGAAAAACAGGGGCACTCACATTGTCGATCTGTTCCAGTCATCATTCAAAAGTCTGAACATCATCAAAAACGGATGTAACCTACTTAAGGGACCGGACTGCACAAAAAGCTTCTTGTTCATGTCAGCCACCAGTCGCGCGCGGTTGGTATTTATTTAAACTGACACTAAAAGTCACTCAAGAAGAAGTGAGTGCTCCATTTGCGCTCCGCTTTTTCCTCTTCTTCCGCTCTTGCTCCAATTCCCCCTAAGGGCAAACTTTGTTTCTTGTCACGATTTATCTCTGTGGTCTAGAGCCCATATGTATTTGTGCACCGATGTTGGGATGCTGCTGCGTCGAGCTGTTCCCTTCTCTGTTCGGACGTTTTTCCAACTCTCTGATAAATGTCAAGCTAATGAAAAGAAAAGAAGCACACTGTGTGCCTGTCACAGGTCCTTTTTTTCGAGGAGGAATGGTGAACTTTTTATTTTAGGGTTTGTTTTGAACTTCTACCTGTCGATTCGATTGGCATGCTTTTAGGTGGGAAGTGAAAGGTCTGTCATTGATGAAGAAATGTATGACAATTTGAACAAAATAGGGGAATCAGGGGTAAAACCGCCACGTTAAGCGCTACTATTATTTTTATATATTATCTAGAGTTAAGGAATGTGGTTAATATGGTGATTCAAAATATCGATTTGCTCCACCAATCTCAATCGATTCTAAGTCCTATCAATTCTCCCAAAATTTGAGCTCATTTGGTTGCGATTGGTTGTGATCTTTTTGTTCTCCAAGTCCTAACCTTTCGTCAAATTAAATTGATTTACGGGCTAGCTTGCTGAATGCACTTCTTTGAATTTGTATCTACTACAACTTTTTTGAATACCACGTTTTGCATAAACGTCAAGCAAATTAGTTATTGATTGATTTTGAAGCCTAAAACTTTCTGATATGATTATTTGACTGCTTTCAGGGTAACACTGCATCTTGCAGTATGACAGGCTACTGCTTTGCTCTATTCTTCGCACCAAGTACACCAATGTTGCCTGCTGACCAGTTGATGTACGGTGAATGAGAACGAGCCAAATTTGAGTTTAGCTCACTCATAATCGTCAAAAAGTGCAGGAACTCAGCGATGAGTAAATTTGCCTCATGGTTTCCTGTGGAAAACCTCAAAAGTCTGCCGGAAAATGAGAAAATTGACGAAAATTTTATTCAATCTAGGAGTAGTATCAATAGACTGAGTGAATTCAATCTTTACTTTTCTCATATTCGGGAATTTTTTCCTGGAAAAACCTGGTTAAACATGAGGCAAATTTACTCATCGCTGAGTTCCTGAGTATGCAAGGGGTGTTCAACTCTGCACACCTTAATTCGTGCCGAGTTATTAGTTGTGCCAAAAGCTGTGCCAAGTGCTCTGCCGAAGGTACCTGTCCACTCACGGACACTGAAAATGGTGTGGGAAATCCTCGGCTCGGAGGATCCCAGATGTACGGCCAATTCCCTCTTCAAGGGGAATACCGAAAGTATGGATGGGGGTCACGAAATGGTCGACTTGCAGGAATTATCCCATTGTGAGCCTTGAGAAAGGCTGATTGTTTTCGGTTTGTCACGGAAAAGGAGAATGCGTCCTTTGTTTAGTTTAAACTTTGTATTAAATGATCCGTTCAATACAATGGTTGGTACACGTATGTGAGCTTTGCGAGAGAAACTACTTAATACTACTATTTACAGCTTAAAACTAACCTACTCTACTATATACACTTAACCTACTATGTACAAATTGCTTATTAAAGCATGTTCAGAAAGATTGCATTTTTGAATAAATTTAGTTGTCATATCATCAATTTTGGAATCTACTTTGGGAATTTCTGCCTCTTGATGGAGGTCTGCTATTCTTGTGTCGAATGGACGATCTAGGATCATCCTCAACACTCTATTCTGTGCAACCTGGATTTTGTTCCTGTGGGTCTGAGCGCACGATTCCCACACCGGGGCGGCATAGAAGATCGCGGGGGCTATGATCTGTTTGTAAACAGCCAGTTTGTTTTGCCTTGAGAGGCGGGATCTGCGGCAAATGAGCGGATACAAACACCTAACCAAGGCGGAGCACTTAACTAGGGTTTTCTCTATGTGCGAGCGGAACAGGAGCTTCTCATCGAACAACATCCCGAGATAAGTAACATCAGTGGACCACTCGACCCTTGTACCATCCATTATTACGGTACAGGAGGGAGACGGTTTAAGTTTTAATGATTGTCTGTGAAGGAACATGATCGCTTGGGTTTTCGAGGCGTTGATTTTGATTTTCCACGTGGTGGCATAATCAGTAAAGGTGTCAAGGCATCGTTGGAGCTTGTTCGTAATTTCACGAGGCATCCTACCCTTGACGGCTATCGCGGTGTCATCTGCAAACAGAAAGAACACGCAACCGTCTCCTAGAGGAGGGATGTCCGACGTGTAGATGCTGTAAAGCAGTGGTCCCAGCAGACTCCCTTGCGGAACACCTGCTGGGATCGGAAATTGTCCCGAAAGGGAACTATTCAACGACACCCTGAACGACCTTTGCTGGAGATAGTTACGGGTGATTTTCACAAGGTATGGTGGAAAGTTGGAGTTACAAAGCTTGTATATAAGTCCGTCGTGCCAGACATTGTCAAACGCCTTTTCGACGTCTAACAAGGCCATGGCTGTGGACTTGGATACAGCTTTGTTACTCCGGATGTTATTCATCACCCGCACTAGCTGATGATTGGTGGAATGCCCCTTACGGAACCCGAACTGTTCCGGAAGAAGAATGTCATGTTCCTCCACAAACTTGTTTAGTCGGCTGAGGATCAATTTTTCGAACAGCTTGCTCAGCGCTGAGAGCAGGCTAATCGGTCTGTAGCTTGACGGTAGTGAAGGGTCTTTCCCAGGTTTGCGGATCGGGATGATTTTTGCCACCTTCCAGATGCTTGGAAAGTAGTGCAGCTCCAAGCATCTGTTGAGGATGGCAGCCAGCAGCGAGTGCACCCTCGCGCTGAGATTTTTCAACTCTAGGTTGAATATTCCGTCAAACCCGGGAGCCTTCATGTTCGTACTGTGTTTCAGCGCTGAGCAAATTTGTTCCTCTGTAATCCGTTCTTCTGGAGGGACGGCACAAGGGGAGGCATCTAACGTCAGGACGCACTGCGCAACCTGGTTCTCGAGTGGACTTGGGATTTTAGAGCCAAGCAAATGCGACTGGGCAATGTGCTCCCCAATCGCATTGGCCTTCTCTTCGTTGGTGATAAGCCGTTCGTCATTGACTCTAAGTGGTGGAATGGGCTTGGGGTGAGACTTCAGCACCTTGGCAACCTTCCAGAATGGTCTGGAACGGTCGTCCAGGTTCTGAACGAGCCGCCCGAAACTCTCGTTCCGGATTGAGACCATTCTGGAAGCGATCTGCCGATTCAGATCGACCATTTCGTATTTACGCTGCAGATCCCCAGTCCGCTGAAACTGGCGTCTACGAACATTTCTGAGCCGAATCAAGAGTTTGGTGTGGGAATCAATTGCTTGAAACTTACCCCTCACAGGAACTCGTCGAACGCACTCTTCGTCAGCCACGGATATGGCTTGATGGAGACCCTCCAGGGCCCGGTCGATGTCCTCCACTGTGTCGAGCGGTGGGTTGTCGTCGATGTGGCGGTCGACCACGCGTCGAAACTGGACCCAGTTGACTCGATGGTAGTCCTTCCGCTGGCACGGTGCAGGGGCCACGTTGTAGCCCAGCTCGGTCAGCACCGGTTGGTGGTCCGAACTCAGGTCGTTGACGGCAACCGGCTTGGCTAATCTGGTGCCAAGAACAGGTCCAGCGTCGATGGGTTGCCCGTCGGTGATGTGAAGGTTGGTTCGTCCGGAAACCAGACGGAATAGAGACCATGCTGGGAATGGTCGAATAGCAGGCGGCCGTTCTGGTTCTGCTGGTAGTTCCGCCAGGCCTCGTGCCGGGCGTTCAGGTCCCCTCCGATTACGAAGCGGGCATTGGTGCGGGTTATGATGGCAAGGTCGTTCTTGAACTGCTGTGCTGTACCATTGCTAACGGTACATTGCCGGGGACAGTAGGCGGCGATGAACCGGATGTTTCCGGTCGATGTTTCCACCTCTACGCCGACGGCCTCGATGATGGAAGTGCGGTAGTGGGGTAGGGTGCAGTACTTGATGCCTTTCTTGATGATGACCGCGACACCGCCCCCCCTGGAGCTGGTGCGATCAAGCCGGACAATGCTGTGGTCGGGCAGCCAGAAGCTGTCACCGGTCTTGAGGTGGGTCTCGGTGAGGAGGCCCACGTCGATGTCGTGCTTGCGGAGGAAGTCTGCAAGCTCAATGTTTTTCGCCCCTACGGAGCGAGCGTTCCAGTTGGCGATCTTTATGGGTTCACGGTCCATAGTTAGCGACGAAGGAGATGATAGCTTGGAGCTGTTGTGTTCTTGTTGCGCAGGTGCGCTTGATGATGATGGCCTGGGCCAACAGTGCGACGATCTCATCCGTTGACAGCGGAGAATCGTCTGTAGCTTCACCGGTTGTACCGGCCAATCCCGGAGCAGGGGGATCCGTCGATGGGCCGGAGGCTTGACTAGGTACTGCAGCGGCAGCCGACTGGGCAGCAGCCAACTGTTGGTTGAGCGGGAGCGGCGCCAACACTGGAATTGGCCGTGGTTGGACCGGTGATAACGGAGGAAAGTTCTGCGCGTTGTTTTCCGGGACCTTCTTGCGACCGGGCTGGTTGTTGGACGAGGCCTTCTTCCGGATCTCGGCGTATTCGGCCCGCTTCGGACAGGCCTTACTCGTGGCCTTGTGGGCAGCACCGCAGTTGGCGCATGTGGGAGCGGCTTCCTCGATGCTGTCGCAGTCGTCGATCTTGTGGTTTTTGCCGCATTTGATGCAGCGGCTGGCCATGCG